AGCGTCATTGTATGATTTTCGTTAAAAGTGCTAGAATAACGCTTCAAATCTGTCTAAGAACGTGGGCCCTGTGTTTTTACAAGTTTTGTTGATAGAGTTTTATCAAAGATTATCGGGGATCGAACATTAGAGAAATATCAATTTAAATGCTAGAGCATACCAACTGTGACTGATATTTCTGTGAAAAACCTGTCTTCCAAAAATTTACCTGAATAAATGTTATTTAACCATTAATAACTATAATTCGTGGCATGGGCTAGCAAAGGAGGAAAGTTTTAAAAAATGTGTTTTACAAATTTGGTAAAAAGAACAATAATTTATTTTTAAATTAATTCAATGTGTTTTCTGACGGATAAATCTTCACAAATGAAAAAAAAAACACGAAAGAAAACAAAAAGGAAAAGAAGGTTGAGCTATAGTTACAGAAACATATATAACATTCCCTATGTCGTTATTTCAATAGATTCGTAACTAGCAGAAGTATTTCGAGATACAGCCCTAGTTTACAGGGTTGTTATCGTTTATTCTTCGCAATGCGCTCCATACTAAAAACAATGGCAGTCGGTATTTTGTGAATGTCCAGTCAGTCGGAAATTGCAACTACTGTCTTTTGACGTTATCCTGTTTCACAATATCTTCTCTTAATATTTCACATTGGCAATGTTACTTTTGCATAGTTCTTCCAAAATATTTGTGTTCAAACAACAAAATATATATTTCTGTTTACTGGATCAAAGACGCCTAAAGCACTATTCATAAAACGAAAGTTGATCATTTCTAATGGTATAAGGACTTCATTTATCAAAGTCTACCCAAAAATACCATCTTTTATTATGCCAATAACAATAATGTAATTTTTACCTTTAAAAATTATCCTTGATCCATCGCTTCGGTATAATTTTTCATAATCAACACAAAATAATGAGTGAACCTCTTGCGGTTTGAGTACATCTAACCCGATTTAAATATCCGGGTTACCTGTTTTTAAAACATTGCTGTGAAGGCATTCCTTAAGGCGTTGTTCTCGCAGTCTTAAAATTTACCTATGGCAGTCCGATATTAGTGAGCAGTCTGATGTTAATCGTAATATCAGACTGTGTCAGTACTGATTACCTTTAACATTGGACAGCTACTGAACAAAACAAATAAAAAATGCGATGATTAAACAAAGAGTACTAATTAAAATTTCTTACGTAGATGTTGATTTTAAACCATCAATCTTACAGAATTGCAAAATAAAAAATAAAAAAAAAAAACACAAATATACCTTAACAGGAAGAAGAAAATGCAACAGACCAGATAATTCAAATAAAAAACATCGAACAAAAACTCATAAAAAACGTGTTAACTTCTCATGAACTTATTAAGATTGGAGAAGTGTTTCAACCACTTTCTCTGGTTTTCGAAAAAGAGTGGGCACACTGGGGGTCACCAGAGAAGCATATAAACTTGTAAAGAAAAAAAAATTCATAATAAAACACAAAGTTGAATTTTAAATTTTCAGTAAGCATAACTTTTTCTAACTAAAGAATTAACCATACATCACAATTTTATTCTATATAGAAATAGTGGTGTTTTTGTAAGCAAGTTGTGTTCAGACAGTGCTGAAACACGACCTACGTATTACTGAGAAAAACTCTTTTGATTGGAACATTTGACATCCAATTATCTCGTTAATCTCGTTAATCTCGTTAATCTTGGTACCCGTGTGTTGAAGTTCCAAATTGCACATGGAATTTCCGAATGAATGATTCGGAAATCTTCATTCGGAACTTCCGAATGCTCATTCGGAGTATTGGAGCAAATTTCCGAATGGATTCCGTATAGTTCCGAATGAATGTTCCTGAAAGAAAGTTCCGAATGACTTCCAAGTTGCTTCCAAATGACTTCCGAGTTGCTTCCAAATGATTTCCGAGTTGCTTCCAAATGACTTCCGAATGCTCAAATGAATGCAATTGGACAATTTTCATTGGCTTAGACTTACACACATTTCCGAATTACTTCCGAATGCTTTCCGAATAAATTTTAAAATAATTTAATAAGGCTTTTTTTAACAAAAATTACTTTTTTATTTATAATTAAAATTTAAATAAGGTAACAATATACATTTTCTTTAAGAATATAGATTATTCAGCTTGCCCAGTGGGACACCGGTTGATAGTTTACACATGAACAATATAGGAAGAAACTTGTCCATGGGCCATGTCAGACAACCATTAATATTGATCCCTGGAAATTATTAATATCTGTAATCAAGGGCAGTAAAATCTTGTTTGAAACATACATGTATAAGGTGTTAAACTTTAATACATGATGAATTTTGGTCCTTCTGTAGACAAAATTTGACAGCTGTGCATTTAGGTGTGAAGATTCTCATGTCGATTTACTCTCAAAGAAATTCAAGAAAGATGGTATGCTTTGCTGTATGACCCTATAATCTCCAAGTACAAAACAGACATCTGAATTAGAAGAGCATAGGTCTTCAAGGGTGCCTTTTAATTGTTTGTTACATTGATGCCTCAGTCATTTAGATAAAAATGTTGCATTTGAAATCCTGACTACCATAATAACAATTTTTCCATGTTAACCATTACATTGTTACATTGATGCCTCAGTCATTTAGATAAAAATGTTGCATTTTAAATCCTGACTACCATAATAACAATTTTTCCATGTTAACCATTACATTGTTACATTGATGCCTCAGTCATTTAGATAAAAATGTTGCATTTTAAATCCTGACTACCATAATAACAATTTTTCCATGTTAACCAGGTTAGCAGTGCAGGCCATGAACCAGATCCACCCTGATGTGATAGCAGAGGTTCAGTCTAAAGCTCTCTATAGTAAAGAGGAGGAATCATTATTGGGAACAATTGCATCTGTATGTAATATGTATTGTGTCATTCAGACACTCATTTTATCAATACTCTAAAATTAAAATGAAAAAATTATGTGTTTTCAATGTGCTGACAAAAAGGGGCTTTCAATTCTGAAAATGCTTTGATAAATTTAATGAAATGTGGTTGTTTTTAATATTGTTGAAAAGAGCAGGAAAATTTGAAGTTTGTTCTTGAAAGTTTTAGCATTTTTTTTTTCAGTCAAGTCAACCAAGTTTGGAAACCTTCCAGGATCTCTTGGAACAGAATCCGAAAAAGCTATTTTTACCTGTAGGCACGGTCAAGGCTTTACACAATCACTGGTTGTTTGCTAAAACTAATATTATATACTGCCAGACCAGTCAGGTAGTGTATGATTCAAAAGTTATGGCAAAAAGTACAAAGATTTTTATAATATCAAGGTCACAGTCAAGGTCACAAGGTCATTGACCTTGATGTTATTTGAAAGGACTTTATTAGTGGAGTATGCATACTAAATATTAAGTTTCTGTCTTTTATGGTTCAAAAGTTATGACAAACAGTTGAAAAAGCTATTTTTAGCATATAGGTCACAGTCAAGGTCACAAGGTCATTGACCTTCATGGCATTTGAAAGACCTTTATGAGAAGTTTCTGTCTTTTATGGTTCAAAAGTTATGACAAACAGTTGAAAAAGCTATTTTTAGCATATAGGTCACAGTCAAGGTCACAAGGTCATTGACCTTCATGGCATTTGAAAGACCTTAATGAGAAGTATGCATACTAAATAATTATTTCCTGTATCATCCTATGGTTGAAAATATATGTCAAAAAGTGGAAAAAGCTATTTTTAGCATATACCGTACGTCACAGTCAAGGTCACAAGGTCATTGACCTTGATGTCATTTGAAGGAACTTTATTAGTGAAGTATGCATACTAAATATGAAGCTTCTATCTCTTATGGTTTAAAAGTTTTGACAAACAGTTGAAAAAGCTATTTTTAGCGTATAGGTCACAGTCAAGGTAAAAAGGTCATTGACCATTATGGCATTTGAAAGACCTTTATTAAAGGCAAAATGCACACCAAATATGAAGTCTCCATCTCTTACAGTTCAAGTTTGAAGCAAGAATGGCAAAGGTTTAAGTTGACAACAGACAGACAAACAAACAGGACAAAAACAATATGCGCAGAAAAAATTGGTGGACATAAAAAAGGATCAATTGTACCAACTAATTAGAGATGTTAAGTTGTCAAGTTGTCATGAGTTTTAAATTCAGCTACAAGTTGTCATGAGTTTTAAATTCAGCTACAAAATCATGATAATTGTAAATTATTGATTTTAATTTAGAAGGCAAGGTCATTAAACTTGGGTTAACAAACTATTTTCATTCATGTTTGAAAGTAAGATAAGTGTTTTAACAAAGCTTTACTTTTTAAATTCTTAAATCTTAAGGTCAAGATCTAGTAAATGAAGGATGCCTACAGATTTATCAAATTCAAGAAATGAATTCCTTTAATGATGCTTTATAATTTTAGCTTGGTCAAAAAAGGTGTTTCGGGGCATAATTTGTAGGAAAATAAGATGAAAAACCATATTTTATACTGTCATTTTCAATGAAAAATTAAGAAAATTAGTCATGAATATGGGAGTTTTTTCCATATCACACAAACAAAATGTATCCAGATTGCCTACAGTCTTTCAGAAAACGGTAATTTGTATGTTCTTGGTCTCTTCTTTTAAATAATCTTAAATTTAATATAGGTATCCGGACTACTTTTCATGTGATTTCAAATTGAATTCCATGAAAATAATTTTTTTTCTACATAATTCTATTAGAGCCGTAAAGTACGGGAAAAAGAAAGTTGAAAGTGATTATGACGTCATAATGGATCTAGCTCCAAAAAGTTAGTCTAAAGACATTTACTAGATCTTGACCTTAACACTTACTTACCATAAAGGACCTTGAGCTTATCTTGGTCGTCCAGAGGGGGACGCACCTTCCCATTTTTCTTGCTGGCTCCATGATGGCCCGTTATGGAATGTCCTTTTAATTCTTCAAATGTGAACATTCTTCTGAGGAGCCATTTTGCGTCCCCTTTCCAGCCCTTACCTGGAAGGTCATGAACCAGTTGAGCCTGTCTAGATAAAACATGGTAATCAGAGATCACAGAGTTCACCTTACTTGATTTTTATCTTGAAGTTCTGTAAGTAAGTTTAGTAATGTGCATACTTTGACATGTCATCTAAGAAAGTTTGGTAAATATAGAGCTTATGTGACCTTGAAATGAGATCTGCTCCAAAAGCTTTAAACTTGGGATACCAAATGCTGAGGATAAATTTAATCCAATTACCCCTCAACTTTGATGAGGTGTGCTAAAAGTGTATTAAATTATTGCACTATACTTGAAATAGAGAAATACTGGATTAACTGAAAATCTTGCCACCTGTTACTTACCTTCGTAAATCCATTGTATAAGGACTCCACTTGATGCTGATCCTCTTGTGCTGCGTCATGTGATATGGGAGGTCTCCCGCTCTGTGTAACAATAAAAATCTTAATATTTTCTTTTTTAGAAACAATATCAGTAGACCAAAAATTCATAACATGCACATCTTTTGAATGAAATAAGCATTGCAAGTTCTTGAACACTTATTGTAAAATAAACTTGTTTAAAATGTATCTGAAATAATAAACCAAATTACTAAGACATAATACACCTAAGGCTTGTACATACCAGAAGTGGCCCACTGACATTATGTTGCTGCTGCTGTTGGAACACAAATTGCTTACCTGCAAAATTAAATGTGCAAATAAAACAATTCAAATTCAGATTTATCATATAATCCTTGCCTAGAAATAAAAAAAAAATATTTGAAAATTAAAATATTTACATACCTGATATAGCCTTGTGTTTAACGAGTAACAGTTTTGCTGCACTTCATACATCTGACGTTGTAGATTTTCATTTGCCAGACGCAACTGTTCACAATTTTGACATGGAGTTGGATAATGTGGGGTTGGTCTGGCGAAATATGGAGGCCCATCCATGTCTACAGCCATAGACACAGCTTCTCCGAGCAGAGTTGTTGTACTGGCTGGTGATGGTGCTGATATGTCTGAGTATGAGGGTGTATAAGGTTGTGAAAATGTCGTATGAATTGAGGATGCAGGTGATGTAGATGTCTCATATTGCGAAATGGATGAAGT